ATCCTAAGTGGTTTCTGTTTTCCTGAATCTATGCCAACTGACACAGTAAAGAAAGGAGTATCCCTCTCCAGAGTCGACTTTCACATACTGTGTTCCTCATAACACCCTTACATCTAGTCAGGGCAAATTTTGTTATTCCCTTTATATGAAACAGAAAACTGAAAAATGAAAGTGATTAAAAGACTTTGAAGATTTCTTGACAAAAAAAAAGCTTCAATGTAATACACATTTAAACAATTTATTTACCAAGTGTTTACCGTAACCATTAACTTTTCACATATAAAACTATAACAAAGAGTAAGGTATTCTTATGTAAAGCAATAATTTAAGACTTAACATTGATTTTAAGATTTTATTTGTTTATTTGAGAGAGAGAGAGAACATGAGCAGGGAGAGGAGCATATAGAGAGGGAGAAGCAGACTCTCTGCTGAGCATGGAGCCCAATGTGAGGCTTGATCCTGGGACCCTGAGATCCTAGGACCTGAGCCTAAGGCAGACACTGAACTCACTAAGCACCCAGGCACCCTAACACTTACACTGATTTAAAGAAAATATCAGAAACAAAACTATTTCAAAAGACACCATATGGGCGGGGGGTGGGCGTGAATGGGTGACGGGCACTGAGGGGACACTTGACGGGATGAGCACTGGGTGTTATTCTGTATGTTGGTAAATTGAACACCAATAAAAATTAATTTATTAAAAAAAAAAAACAAAAGACACCATATTGTGGACAGAACATTTAACCTTTCATGTTAATTTCAAATCAATAGCTTTTATCACCCCAAATTAATTCTCACTATATTAAATTTTTAAAGAAGTTTAAATACAAACGATCACTTGATTTAAAAAGAAATCAGACTATATGCTGGTATCTAAATCCACTAGAAGGTAAAAAGAGATTAAGAAGTCATCAAAAAAACAAACTGGTGCAAAAGATTAGAGCTAAAACCATAAAACTCTGAAGAAAATATATAAATAAATCTTCATGATCTGGGATTTGGCGATGGATTTTTTTTTTTTTTTTTTTTTTTTTAGATTTCATTTATTTGACAGAGAGTAAGAACGATCACAAGCAGGGAGAGTAGCAGGCAGAGGAAGAAGGAGAAGCAGAGTAGACTCCCCAATGAGCACGGAGCCCAATGTGAGGTTCAATCCCAGAATCCGCGGATCATGACCTGAGCCGAAGGCAGACACCTAAATACTGAGCCACCCAGGCACCGCTGGATTTTGGATATGACCCCAAAAGCAGAAGTAACAGAAGAAAAAAAATAGATAAATTGAATTTCATCAAAATTTACTTTTGTAATTTACTTTTGTGTATCAAAGGACTTTATCAAAAAAGTGAAAAGACAACTCCTAGAATGGGAGAAAATATTTATGTATCATTTATCTGATAAGAGTTGAATATACAAAATACAAAGAATTCAATTTTTAAAATTCCAATTTAAAAATGGGCAAAAGAGTTGAATGGTCAACAACGATAACAATGACAAGAGATACACAAATAGCCAATAAACATATGAAAACATGCTCAACTGCATTAAGCATCAGAGAAACGCAAATCAAAACCACAGTGAGACGCTACTTCACACCTACTAGGATCGACAGACAGCTATGACCAAAAATATGGAAATAATAAATGTTGATAAGGATGTGAAAAACTGGAACATTCATACATTGTTGGTAGAATGTAAAATGACACAGGTTCTGTGAAAAATAGCTTAGTGGTTCCTCAAAAAGGAATTAGTATAGAAGTACCATATGAACCAGTAATTCCACACCTGGAATATTCAAAAGAACTGAAATCAGGAACTGAAGCATTTATTTGTACATGCTAATTTTTGTATAGATAAAATTTGAAGTACAGTTAAAGTACATATTATCAGATAATTTTATCCTTAATTTGTTGACTAAAAAACAAAAAAAAGAAAATCAAATAAACTAAGAACCAAAAATCAGCAAATTTTATAAATATTAAGCGTTGATATTCTTGTTCTAACAGCTGCTAATAAATTTTTAAAACACCAAATAATTAATTATATGACAGCCATATATTTTAAGCTTTTTTAAAAATTATAAGAAGCATGTGACACGGGACACCCGGGTGGCTCAGCGGTTGAACACTTGCCGTCAGCTGAGGGCATGATCTGGGGTCCTGGGATCGAGTCCCATACTGGGCTTCCTGCGAGGAGCCTGCTTCTCTCTCTGCCTATGTCTTTGCCTCTCTTTCCATGTCTCTCATGAATAAATAAGTAAAATCTTTTTTAAAAATTTTAAAAAGCATGTAACACAAAAATTAACTCAAACTGGACTAAAGACTTATATGTAAGACCATAAAACTTTTAGAAGACCCATAAAACTTTTAGTAGAAAACATAGGCAGTAAGTTCCTTAACATAAGTCTTTACAATGATTTTTTTTGGATTTAACACCAAAACAAAGGCAACAAAAGCAAAAATAAACAAATGAGAACTACATCAAACTAAAAAGTTTCCACACTACAAAGGAACCCAGCAACAAAATGAAAAAGCAACTTACAGAATGGCAGAAAATATTTGCAAATCATATACCTGATATGGGGTTAACATCAAAAGCAAAACAAAACAAAAAAATACAACTCAATAGCCAAAAAAAAAAAAAACTGATTAAAAGATGGGCAGATCTGAATAGACATGTTTCCAAAAAAAAAAAAAAAATGCAGATGCCTGATACATGAAAAGATGTTCCACATCACTGATCATCAGGGAAATGTAAATCAAAATGCAATTAAACATCCTCTCACACCTGTTAGAATGGCTATTGTCAAAAAGATAAGAAATAACAAATATTGGTGAGGAAACAGAGAAAAGGGAAACCTTGTGCACTCTGTTGGTAACAATGCAAATTGGTGTAGCCATTATGGAAAACAGTATGGAGGTTCCTCAAAAAATTAAACTTAAAACCACTATAATCCAGCAATTCCACTTCTGAGTATTATCGGAAGAAAGTGAAAACACTAACTTGAGAAGGTATCTCCACCCCCATGTTCACAGCAGCGCTATTTACAATAGCCAGGACATAGAAACAACCTAAATGTCCATAAATGGATGAATGAATAAAGAAGATACAGATACAAAGATAGATAGATAAATGTATGTATATGTACACATACACATGTGATGGAATACTATTCAGTTATAAAAAAAAATAATGAACTCCTGCCATTTGCAGCAAGATGGATGGACCCTGCAGGCATTATGATAAGTGAAATATATCAAACAGAAAAGGATAAATACTGTACAACTCCACTCAGATGTAAAATTTTAAAAATAATGACAAAAAATAAGCTTAAGGATACAGAGAACAGATGGGTCTAGTGGCTGCCTGAGGCAGAGGTAGGGGTCAAAAGGTGTAAATTTCTAGTTATAAAATGAATATGTTGTGGGAACATAATATACAGCATGAGGACTATAGTTAATAATACTGTAACGCGGGAACCCTGGGTGGCGCAGCGGTTTGGCGCCTGCCTTTGGCCCAGGGCGCGATCCTGGAGACCCGGGATCGAATCCCACATCAGGCTCCCGGCGCATGGAGCCTGCTTCTCCCTCTGCCTGTGTCTCTGCCTCTCTCTCTCTCTGTGTGTGACTATCATAAATAAATAAAAATTTAAAAAATAATAATAATAATACTGTAACGCAGGGGTGCCTGGATGGCTTAGTCAGATAAGTAGCCAACTTTTGATTTCAGCTCAGGTCGTGATCTCCCATCTGGTTCTGAGCTCAGTGTAGAGTCTGCTTGTCCCTCTCCTTCTGCTCCTTTCCCTGCTCTCTCTCAATCAAATAAATGAATAAACAAAATCTTAAAAAAAAAAAATACTGTACTGCATATGTTAAAGTAGGTAAAAGAGTGGGTCTTGAAAGTTTCCATCACGAGAAAAAAAATGAATGGCTATATATGGTGACACATGTTAAATGGAATTTAATGTAGTGATCATTTTGCAAATATGCAAATGTAGAATCCTTACATAGAATCACTGTATACATGAAACTATTATGATGTCAATTATACCTCAATAAAAAAATTTTTAAAGAGTATATAACTTACAAGCTATCACATTTTTAGTAAACTTTTATTACACAATTTATAAAGAAATTTACTGACATTTTAAAGGTAGTATACATCCCTCATTCTTAAAGGATAAAAGCCCTCAAATCTTAAATGCACATATAAATAGCTCAAAGAATACAGCAGTCTTTAATACTGCAACTGATTAGACAAAGGGGATAAATTCGTGTATCTTTTTTTTTTAAGATTTTATTTATTTATTCATAGACATACAGAGAGAGAGGCAGAGACACAAGCAGAGGGAGAAGCAGGCTCCATGCAGGGAGCCTGATGTGGGACTCGATCCCGGGTCTCCAGGATCGCACCCCAGGCTGCAGGCGGCACCAAACCGCTGCACCACCAGGGCTGCCCAATTTGTAAGTATCTTAAAAGAAATAGCTAAATTTAGAATAATGGCTTTACTTCTTCATTCTCAAAAGAATTCCTTAAAAACCCACAAAGATTGGGACGCCTGGGTGGCTCAGCGGTTGGGCTGCTGCCTTCAGCCCAGCGCGTGAACCTGGAGTCCCACATTGGGCTCCCTGCAAGGAGCCTGCTTCTCCCTTTACCTATGTCTCCACTTTTCTCTCTCTCTCTCTCTCTCTCTCTCTCTCTGTGTCTCTCATGAATAAATAAATAGACCTTTAAAAAAAATACAAAGATACAACTAAAACCAAGAATTAATTTTTATGGGTATATATACTTCATTGATACTAATTTCACTATATTAGAAAGAGAAATAAAATATCTCTTTCTCTCATACACACACATACACACATTTTAATTCCCCAACTAAAAAGCTGGCAAATCAAAGTAACTGAATTACAACTTAAGTAATTTTATAAAATGCTGCCACTCAACTAAAGTACTAAATATTTACATGGTCATAGTAACACCTACTTATTGACACTTACTGTGTGAAAATTTATCATTTCTTGAAGACTGTCAGAAAACTTGGTCAAACTTGTCTAAGAGAAAGAAACCAAAAGAAAAACAGGTCATTAAAGAGTCACTAAAATAGGTCACAAAAATGTTACTTCAGCATTTCTAACAGAAAGATCAAGTTACAATGCAAACAATAATAACGTTTACTTCCGAGGATGATTTCATGGCATTGCTTCATGGTCATGCTCTACAAAGAGGATAAGTGTACATGTGGTAGGTAACATAAAACCCTAGAATAGTCAAAGAATTAGTATTGTCATATCAATAGGAGTAGGCTAACAAATAATAATGGTACATATAAACCTAAAGGTAAAACTGAGTATATCAGTGCCCACTTAGGAATCTGTGAATCAAAGAAACATCAAAGTACATCCATTACCTAACCAGATATTATTCCCTCATGGAAGAAATATCATAATACCACATAATATAACAAAGGGTCTAAGTTAACCCAGCATAGCTACCTGACAAGAACTTTCCTAGGCAGCCCCATACATAAAGTTAGATACTATTAAGATTCAAATGCTCTCTGCTTGCCCTAAAAGCTCCTACTAATAAGTATAATCCTTCTCTCCCTCCTCATGTCCTCTTGTAGATGATTCAGCTCACTTAGCAGAAGTAAACTTATATTCACAATGCAAATCAACCATCAATTTCTACTATGCTAGAAAACAGGATTATACAACACCAATAGGTCATAGCTTTTTTATTTGCAAATTTAAGGACCATTACAACTACTAATAAGGTAGATGGATGCATAGTTCTTTAATAGTTTGTTAAACTTATCATATTAATAATTTTAGAAATACTAACCTCAACTACAGCATCATTACTAGAATACTGTGCCAGGTCTCGAATCCCATTCATAAACTGTTTATTTGCAACACAGAAGGCCTTTCCGGTATCAATCATTGCAATACAAAGTTTCACAAGCTGAAAAAGAAAATCATTACACCAGATTGAAAATAATTATACAAATTAGTTGAACAAGTGTTAGCAATAGCTATGAGTTAGCCTAGATAAGATAAATAATGGTTCATCAATAAGGCCGAAAAAGACTAACTGAAAATTGTTCTTTTTAACTCTGACTTACAAAGTAAATTCATAGGAGGCTTGTACCGAAAAAAAGTTGACCCTTTGGAATCCAGAGGCTATATGGTAACAACAATAAATCATTTTATTAAGTCAAATTTGATCCCATAAATTAACTCCATAAAAATTTATTAAGCCCCTCTCAGAAGGAAAAACAGGGAACTTCAAGCAGAACAAGCAGTATGCTAAAAAATACATGAATTAAAAACAAAACCTGTGGTATGTTGGAGGAAAAGGGAGCAAATTGGTGTGTTCGATTAGTGATGCTAGGCATTTCAGTGTCAGTCAACCAACACAAACACCTGAATTGATTAACCAACCATATTTCTCCAATGCCTACTGTTTTAGGCATTGTGCTAATCATAAAATTGAGACTTTCATTTTTCTTACTCTGTAATTCTTTTCCTCCCTCTCTTTCTTTTTTCCAACCTTATTTTTCTCCTTTCATTCAAACAGAATATTTTCTTTTTTATTATTATTTTTTATTTTTTTAAAGACTTCATTTATTCATGAGAGACACATAGAGAGGCAGAGACACAGGCAGAGGGAGAAGCAGGCTCCATGCAGTGAGCCCAATGTGGAACTCGATCCCATGACTCCAGGATCAGACCCTGGGCTAAAGACAGGCGCTCAACCACTGAGCCACCCGGGCTTCCCGAACATTTTCTTTAAACAAATAAAATCTTGGGTGAATACATATATTTTAAAAAAGAAGTGAGAAAGAAGGATACAGAAGGGACAATAGGGGACACTAAAAAGGGGGTAAAGAGAAAAAAAAAACCTTTAGAAAACATCTAAAGGATCTCAGAAGTATAATTTAAAACTGTTACCCTAGGACCTAGAGGAACAGAAATTAAAAACATAAGGTCTGCTCTCAGATGCTCTATTCTAACCAGCAGACAAGCAGATAAATTCTATGCAGCACAAACACTACTGCTATGCATGACAAAAAAACCATGCGTGATCAAACAAAGGAAGAACACCTAACCAGGACTTTGGACATCAGGGAAGGATTCTTGGAAAAGGTTAACACTTGAAAAAAGCCCTGAAGGCCAACAAGAATTAGCCAATCAAACAAGAGTAATGGGAAGATTCTACTCTAGGAAGAGTATGTGCTAAGGCCCAGCAGCTATGTGGGCAGGGCAAACCAGAGGCACTAAGTATCTTAAAGCAGTATGAAAATGTAGGGCATTAAAAGTGTGATGTTGAAAATATATGCAAGTCCAGATCAGGACAAGCCTTGTATACAATGCTAAAAGGTTCACATTTTGTATAAAAGAAAATGGGAAGACAATGGCGAGTTCACCAGAGTTCCATCTTAGAATGATGATGTAAAATGATAAAACGTAAAGACAAGGAAATAGAAGATAAGGAGATTAGACCAAAAACCATGACAGTCTGAATTAGGCAGTAAGCAGGGAGAAAAACTAGGAGACAAATTCAAGAATTACAGTCAAGTACCCGTGTACAGTTATATAGACTGCGTCCCACCAAGGGTAAAAATAGGAGCTGAAATCCAGCCTGAGCTCTGCTTGCCATGAGCTACATCTGCTAATTCACACAAAGATACATTAAACTGGCCAGCAAAGATTTTTTATTTCACTGTTAGGCCTGTGAGGTGGCCCTGAATTTAATGGGCCTGTGATATTAGCCAAGTGGAAAGTTAATCAAACACAAGTGAAAGCTGATGTCTGAAACAAAAAAGAGGAGTGTGCTGTAGATACAGATATAGAAGTCATCAACAAATATACAGTTATCAGTGTTACAGTGCTATATCCTAGACAGAAAGCAGTGTTCTCCTCTAGGAAAGAGATTAGAGGATGATTAATTTTTCACTGGGTACACACTTTGAAGTTTATATCACATAAGAAATATTACTTATTCAACAAATTACATAATTAAAAAACAATTAAAAGGTTCCACAACACAACAAATTAAATAATTTTTTAAAATTAAACTAAAAGGTTCCATAAAAACAGAGAGGTTGGTACATTACGGTTAAAAACAAAGGCTTGTGGGCTTAGTTAGCTTAGGTTCAAATCCTGCTGCCAGGGCAGCCCCGGTGGCTCAGTGGTTTTAGCACCGCCTTCAGCCCAGGTCCTGATCCTGGAGACCTGGGATCAAATCTCGCATCGGGCTCCCTGCATGGAGCCTGATTCTCCCTCTGCCTGTCTCTCTGCCTCTGTCTCTCTCTGTGTCTCATGAATAAATAAAATCTTAAAAAAAGAAAAAAAATCCTGCTGCCATATTAACCATCTAAATGATCCTGAATGACTTCAACCTTAGTAAACTTAAGTTTCTTCTCTCTGAAATGATCAGAATGGTACCAAACTATATAGTTACTAAAAAAGAATTAAAATAATGCACATAAAGATCTTAGGGCAAACCATTACTGGCACATGGTAATTACTAAAGATTTACATTTTCTTGTCAGAGTTTTCTTGTTTGCTTTTGGTTTTCTGTCTTGTTTTGTTTCTGTTGCAGGGAAGCTTGAACACTTTCTACTTAAAATAAAGAAGTGGTAGAGAAAGAAAAGGAAAAAGATGGCTAAAGCAAAGTCCTGAGAAGTTAAGAGTTTGGAATTACATAAGAAAAGGGATACGATACTTTTATCACTCAAATGGGAGGAAAAGTGAAAAAAGAAAAGGACAGATTCTAAATTTCTAGGTTAGGAGTAAGAAATAAAAGTGTTCCCACCAAAAGGAAGATAGAGTCAAAGTCATGTACTAAGAAAGAAGAACAAAGTGATAAATCATAAGAAAACAGAGAAGTATAGCAGCTGTTTAACAGTATAACAAGATAACCTGAATAAGTCTTGGAAAATTTGTTTAACATCAAGAATTCCAGAAATGTGAAGCTCCACCAGTTGGTTTCACCAAACAATTGTGTAACTTCTCCTATAGAGTTCTGTAGCCCAGATATGACACAGAGAAAATATAGACGGTTAGATTAATAGAGTGAAAATTCTGTGGAGTAGGTCTTATGGAAGGGAAATGAAGGCCTTCAGGAGAAAAATATGATGGAATAAAATTAAGAGTAGACTGAAAGGGTTCACAGCAGTATTAGTCATACTAGCCAAAAAGTGGAAACCACCTAAATGTCCACTGAGTGATGAATGGATAAACAAAATGTGGCATATCCATACAAAGGCATATAACTCAGCCATAAAAAGGAAATACTGGAACATGTTACATGTGCAGACAAATATTAAAAACATCATGCTAAGTGAAAGAAGTCAGTCACAAAAGGCCAAATTATGATTCTGTTTATATGAAATGTTCAAAATAGGCAAATCCCATAGACAGAAAATAGATTAGTGGTTGCCAGAGGACAAAGGACAAGGAAAATTTGGAGTGACTACCAACAGGTACAGGATTTCTCTTGAAGATAATAGAAATGCTCTGGAATTACAGTGGTGAAGATTGCACAATACTGTGAATATGCTGAAAACCTTGAATTGTACACTTTAAAATGATGAATTTCATATTAGGTGAATTTTACCTCTAAAAATGCCACCACCACCACCACCCCAAAAAAAACACACACTGAAAGGGAAGTGAGTTTAAAAGGGATCTAAAATATCAGAAGTTTATAGACTGGAATACTAGAAGGCTAGCTAGGCTTGAAGATCAGAAGCAGGGACGCCTGGGTGGCTCGGTGGTTGACCATCTGCCTTTGGCTCAGGTCGTGATCCCCCAGTCCTGCGATCGAGTCACACGTCAAGCATGGAGCCTGCTTCTCCCCCTGCCTATGTCTCTACCTCTCTCTGTGTGTCTCTCATGAATAAAATAAGATCTTAAAAAAAAAAAAAAAAAGAGCAAAAGCAGAAGTGAAATGAGAACTGGAAAGACTAGAGTCTCAGGCAAGAAATTAAGAGATTAGCATTCCAGAGTTGCAAGATGAGAACTTTGAATGGTAAGGCATAGCTATGACCATGAAAACAGGTATGAGAATTAGAACAGAGGTCACCATTACCGGACTTGGAAAGACAATGGAATTGCATATAGCATAACCACACATATACTGCAGCTATACAGGGGGGAAGGGCTGACTTGGTGATAGAAAATTTGCAAAAAAAAAAAAAAAAAAAAGAAAGAAAGAAAATTTGCCAGCTGAAAAATCCTTAGTAGATGACACTGATGGCAGGTATAACCCAATAATACAAGCCTACAAATCTTCCCTAAGAGTAAATATCAAAATAGTCAAAAATATCAAGCTAGTAGCCCCAATTCATTCAAAAGTTCTTTTTACTAAATGATATAAATGTCACAGCACTTTTCCAGATGATGAGAATATAAACAATTTATCCCTGACTGTCCTGGATAAGTAACAACCTAAGTCTCATTTTTCTCATGAGCAAACTGGGTGTAATACCAACTTTGCAACATGTTGTGACAGTTGGAGATAATATAAGTAAAACTTAGCACTTGATACATAGTAAGTGCACATCAAATGAGGGGTTTTTTTCCCTTCAAAAACTGTCTTCAAGGAGCTAATAATTTGTTGAAGAGATACCATCATTAACATTTACTTAGAATATACCATTTGCTAAGAACCACGAAAAGCATTTAAAATATACTAAAACACAATATTCTCATATTAACTCTCTGAGACAGATAACTCTAATTTTACCCTTTTTGGAGATGAGAAACTGAGGCACAGGAAGGTTGAGGAACTTGCTCAACACCAAATAGCTTAGTAAGTGGTAGAGCCAGATTCAAATGCAGGCAGTCTTACTCCAGGCTTTGTATTCTTAACTATCAGGCCATGCTACAATCCAAAGACTACAATAATATAGTAAATCTAAATGGAAGTATGTGCAAGAAAGAATACTAAATATGAAAGAACCTAAGTATGGTAGTACTTGAACTGTGGTTTAAAGAGTATCTGCTTAACACAGAGGGAACAAGCATTCCAATGAGAAGCAACAGACACAGAAATCACGTCTCGATGGCCACCAAGGTGCTCCTCAGTGCTGCCGAGGCTAGGACAGCTGACAGAAAGGATGTGTCTTTGGACCCAGCAGAACAAAGCCAGGTATGCAGCGCTACTCTCTACAAGGAGGAAAAGTACTGGTAACATATATTATAAGCAAAATAAATGTAAGCTAAGTCATCAAGCCAGTTTATCCTGTTGGTGGCATGATTTACAGTGATATTACAGGTGGAACTGGCCTCGCACAAAGTTATGAAATCACACACTAATCCTAGGCAACCGTCCCTTCCTCTAGTCCTTCGGTGCCATCACCTTCCGTGACAACCATTTCTTCCTCTTCTCTGGTTCTCCTCTCTGTGAACTCCTCAGAATTCTAAAGGAAAATGACAGATACTAACCTATGAATTGGGAGAGGGACATTTTATAAGAAATCAAGATCATAACTAGAGAAATATAAAAGTTAAGTATGGACCTTCTATTCAGGTGGCAAATAATATTTTTTTAAATGTCAAAATTTCCATGATGTCTTTATTAGCCCTTTGGGTAATAAACACTCTAGAAAGGGCTTAGAGATCTTAGTATTGATTGCCAATATTTTTTTTTAAAGATTTTATTTATTTATTCATGAGAGACACACAGAGAGAGAGAAAGAGAGGCAGAGACACAGAGAGGCAGAAGGAGAAGCAGGCTCCACGCAGGGAGCCCGACGTGGGACTCAACCCAGGACTCCAGGATCACACACTGGGCCGAAGGCAGATGCTCAACCTCTGAGTCACCCAGGTGTCCCAACTACCTCACAAAATTATTGTAAAAAATCAAAGAACATAGACATGTTCTAAGCATTTAGATGCTTAGAACTAAGCATATAAGCACTAAGTATATAGATCAAAGTGTTTTTGAAAACTACAATGTACAATACAAAAATAACTTATTACTAAATATTTTCTAAAAGTTCTGTTTTACATACATGATACTACTACTTTATATAGTTTCTACACTATTTACATTATATATATATATATATATATATATATATATATACATACGTTTCACAATTTCAAAACATTTTAAAACCTTCAGCATATTTTATATTCTTGCTATTCAAAGTGCAGCCCATGGAACAACAGCATTGGTGTCATCTGGAATCTGATTAGAAACACAGAATCTCAGGTACCCCAGACTTACTGAATCAGGATCTGCATTTTTGCGAGATCCCCAGGTGTTTCCTATGCACAGTACAGTTTGAGAAGCACTGCTTTACACGGCATATCATTTACAATAATTAAATAAGAAGCTATTTTCAGAAAAGGTACTTCAAGCATGTGCATCTGATTTATCTCCATAAATTGTAAGAGAGATATTTCAGTAAACAATGGTTACTTGAAACCAGAAGCCATGTGCTACTCATTTTCATATTTCTTCCTGTTTTATAGCAATATTTCTTAGGTAAAGGAAAGATGATTAATAATTAATACAGAAGATAGGAATCAATGTACATTCACCCTTGAATAGAATATGAACGTTTAATATCAATTATTAAATATACACTGAGCATTTCTGGCCTTAGCTGTAAAAAATGGAATCAGTATTTTAAATTTTGTTTATACTTAATGTATCCAGATTCACACTTATAAACAAGAACAGTCAGGTTATATATGAAAACCACTGAGCACTGAAAAGACAGGCAACCTTTTGGATGGAAAAGAAAACAACAAGGTTCCAAGAATATAAAGGGCATCTATTTAGCTTTGAAGGCAGATTGTTCAAGTTCTTGTTCTGGCACTTGTATTTTCAAAGCCTCTTGTGTCTATAGCCTCAATCTCCCTGCGTGTAAAATTGGGATGATAGTAACATTTATCCTCATAGAGATAAAATCAAAAAGTAACATGAATCACCTAATACTAAAGGCACAAATCATTATTAATGTCTTAAAATCTTTAAGTAAAGTTCACCTTATCGAGCTTTAGTTCCAATTCAGCCACATCTCCTTCTACTTCTTCCAAAGCAGCCCTAGAAAAATCATACACAAAACAGGTTACCATGTGCTGACTCTTCTCAGGTACCTGTCCCCCCAGGTCCACCCTCCAAACTCCTTCCTCCCCTTTAAGTTATCATGTGTTTAAATGTTACTTTACTTTTGGAAAATAACTCAATGAAAAAAGATATGAATACTTAAAAACTACACTTCACATTAAGTAATAATTACGTTAGGATGAAGTGTAAATACTCCATTAACACACGATGTAACAGATTAATACTGTTTAAGGTAATGAGAGAACACATTAGACTGATTCAAAGCAATCATGTTACTCAAATTAATAACACTAATTAGAAGTATTTAGCACGTTTGTGGGTTTTTTTAATGAGGAAGAAATTTTAAAAGTTGAGCCTTAACAAAGCTCATATTTCTACTCAATAAAGCGCACCTAACCAAGTAACAGAGCATCCATTCTTGGCAACCAAAAAGGAAAGGCTTTTTACTTTTATAAATAGTTCAGAAAAATGTCAGCCTTGTTTAAGCCTTTTGTTTCCCACGTATTTTTAAGAAATCAGTAGATACTCTTAATTGTCAGGAGAATTATAAAATTCTAATACTTATTAGTACTTGGTATCACACTACAGGCAACATTCCAAAATTGGAAATTTGGAACAAAACAGAAGCAACTAGAACTTCTTAAGGATAACAAGATTTTACACTTAAGAGTTAAGATATAGGGGATCCCTGGGTGGCGCAGCGGTTTGGCGCCTGCCTTTGGCCCAGGGCGCGATCCTGGAGACCCGGGATCGAATCCCACATCGGGCTCCCGGTGCATGGAGCCTGCTTCTCCTTCTGCCTGTGTCTCTGCCTCTCTCTCTCTCTCTCTCTCTCTCTCTCTCTCTCTCTCTATCATAAATTTAAAAAAAAAAGATATAACAAAACACAATTCATCTACTTTAAGCCATCTAACGCACTTGCAGGTACCTGCTTGATAAACTAGCAACATCCCAGTAATTATTTTATAAATTAACCAAATTTGTTTCAAATGGACACAACAGTGGGAGACTAACCATCCAAAAAAGTTATTTTGAACTCTGAGTAAGAAATTCTCAGTTAGATAACAAATCTAAGAAAAAGATGGCTAAAATATAAGCTCTATTCCCAGAAGAACCCACTTAGCCTCGGTGTCATGTCCGAATAACCATTTTTATCAGCTTGTAATTCTACTTCTCTACATGGTAACATTTACTGAACAAAGTTTTTAATCTCCTGATCACTGGGGAGTCTGCTTGTCCCTCTCTCTCTGGCCTTCCCTCTGCTTGTGCTCTATCTCTCTCTCTCTTAAGTAAATGAAAAGTTTTTAAAGATTGTATTAATTTATTAGAGAAAGAGAGGGAAAGGAAATACCAATAATGTTTTATTTTGATCAGGTGGGAAATTACATCTTTTCCACAGAAAAAAATCAGTACTATGATAGAAAGCTATGTTTCCATTTCACCCTCCTCCTCCAACAGCCTGAATTTCTTGTCCAGGCGGTTAGCTTATTCAAGCAGGTGAAATGCCACTATAATTACAGTGAGAATTAATATCATACTACTGTGCCACAAAAGAAGGTGGGGGAAGAGATAGCCTCTATTGTGCTGGGGGAAGAGATAGCCTCTATTGTGCTGGGATCAATAAATCAACAGTGCTGAGTAACTGGTTAATAGTCCCTTCCAAAAAAATTTAAAAAAAAAAAAAGGGGGGGGGAGATCCCTGGGTGGCGCAGTGGTTTGGCGCCTGCCTTTGGCTCAGGGCGCGATCCTGGAGACCCGGGATCGAATCCCACGTCGGGCTCCCAGTGCATGGAGCCTGTGTCTCTGCCTCCCTCTCTCTCTCTCTCTCTCTCTCTCTCTCACTATCGTAAATAAATAATAAAAAAAAAAAAATTAAAAAAAAAAAAACAGTCCCTTCCAGCAAGTAAAGGGTGTAAAGTTAGAATGAAGATACTAGTCATTTAAAAAGGGGTAAGGTCACTTTAATGAGAAAAAAAAGAGGATTAAAAAACTACAAACGTGGAGACTACTACATAATGTTGTCTTCAACTGAGCCCAGAAAAATAAAACCTGAAGAAAAAGGTATTTCTGTGGTGAAATCACAATAAACTTAGGAAGATATACCTCTAAAAAAAATTATTTCATGTTGACTTTCTACAGTCAGTCCATTCCCAAGAATCGTATCACTGCAGTAAATTTGAGACGATAGAGAAATAAAGTTACCATCACTGTTGAAAGAATTAAAATCAAATGTTCACCCAAAGCAGTTAAACTACAATGCTGACCCTATCGGCGGCACGTCATGGTCAGTACCTTAGGGAGGAGAGAGCACGGTCCCCTGCATGGCTCATAACCGGGGTACAGTAGGCAGCTCTGAGGAGAGAACACTGTGCCTGATAATACTGTCAAGACGACCACGAATTTCAAATAAGTTGGGACTCTCAGCAGACTCACAATGGAAGAAAGGAGCAAGATGGTAGGGGACATCTAGGGCCACGCTCAGACAAAACTGTCAAAGATTATAATCAGAGACCCTATTTGCCCTTTCATGGTTGTTCCCCTTCATCCTTTTCAGGAACTGAAAATGGCACTTAAGCCACAGGATATCCTGCAAATTGGAAAAGGTAAAGATCCGCATACTGGGTCTTTCAGGGTTCTGTCTATGACATAGCTTAGGCTGCTAAACAAATCACATCTATAACTTTTCCAGGTTCCCTGTTAACAAAAGAATCCATTTTAGTACATGATGAAAATAATTCTGCCATATATTTTCACTGTGTTTTACAATTCACATGGGGCACCTGCATGTATGATATAGCATTTGCTATATTAAGAGCACAGAATAGTAATATGAACTAATGAAGAGAAAAACCATTAACAGGAAATGAGCTACAACCCCAGAATCTTGATTTGGAAGAAACTCTTGGCAAATTGCTGAATGTCAGAACCGTTTAATGGAAGTAGAACAGCTGTGTTTAGAAAAGCATTTCATGTAGTATTTCATCTCCATTAAAACCCTGCAATATAAGGTCTGTAAACAGGATACAGAAGAACACAAATTTAAGAGCCTAATAAAGAGACTTGGGGTTTTAGAGACACAGTTCACATAGTAAATTTGTGACACTGAAGTGCCTTCTTCTCAGTGGAATGAGCACCTTACCACTACCAGCTCCACAAAGCACCCTATATTCACATCAAATAGAACACCTGGCTCTCACTACGATAATTCAACTTTTGGTCTTGTTGCCTAAACTGAGAGACATGAGTAGAGACTATGGTCCATTTAGCTATCTATCCCTAGTTTATTTAGTTACATTTGTTTACTGGATGGATAAATGCATCATTAAGAAAAATTACCTAATCTGGAGCACGAGACCACTCAGGATGGCTATACCTGCATCTCATGTGTTTATGTGTAATTTCCCAGTTCCCTCTTTCTCCAAGTTTTAGTCATTCCACTCTGCCTCTAGAGCTTCCTATAGATGTTACTATAAAAGCCTTTAAAGAAAATAAAAGAAAAAAGAATCCACAAATAATTGCACAAATGTCAAAATAGATTTACAATGAGTCAGGTCTTTCCATATATAAGGACAAGTCTATATACCTTTACCTAACCATTATTATAATACCTACAACTTCTTCTACAGTTGAAAGAAAAAGGAAATTCTTGTAACGTAACACTCTAGACAGAATATACACTAATACAGGATTTGGATTTCTAAAACAGGGCTGGAAAGAAACCTCAAAGGTTCTACGGAGGAATTCACTGTAACACCACCACGAAATTACATTAACATGATTCCATAACTACATTCAACTTATAATCAAATAGAATCCCTGAACATTTAAAAAGAAAAATCAAAATAGTTACACTAAAATGGCGCAGGAGGATTTTTTTTAAAACAACTTTAAAAAACACTACCAGAAAAATTCAGACAAATGAAGAAATAAGATTTGCCTTCCTTTTCTCTAACAACAAACAGGAGCAAATATCCATTGCTTGGGATATCCAGATGAAATAAACAAAGATCCTTGCCCTCTAGACTTTACAATGGAAGAAGAAGAAAGTCAATAAACAACAAACATAATAAATACGTCATTTAGATAGTACTCTGTAAGATGGTAAGTGCTATTAAAAAAAAAAGTCAAAACATCAGGAGATGCAGTGCAGGGGGCAAGGATACCTACAATTTTAAGTAGGGTGGTCAAGACAGTCCTTACTGAAAAAGTGACATTTGGGCAAAGCCTGAAGAAGTAAATCACGCAAAGGATGTCATGGACGGAAAAAACAACCAATGCCATGGGTTACCCTGGTGTGTTAAAGGAATAGCAAGAAGGCTGGCATGGCTGAAACAGAACAAGCAAAGAAGAGAGATGCAGGAGGAAATGAGAGAAATAATGGAAAGCCCCATCACCATTAACACTGAGAGTCTGATGCAGGGAAGAGACACAATATGACTTAGTCTTTCAAGAATCATTCTGGCTACTATATGGAGAAGATTGTAGAGAAAACAAACAAACAAAAAAAGGCAAAGAGACCAGTTAGGAAGCTGGAGATCATCCAAGTAAGCAATGAAGGTGGCTTAAACTAAACACCAGTCAGTGGTAAAAAAAAAAAAAAAAAATGCTAATCTGGATGGATTTTGAAGGTTAAAGCGGAGAGGATTTCCTCATGAATTGATGTGGTGTGTGAGTACATGCACAACTACGCCAGTAAGCAGATAGATGTGAAATTAAGGATGGATTCTGAGTTTTTAGCTGGAACAGTCAAAAAGACAGAGTTGCAACCAACTGAGATGGAGAGGACTATGGGAAGAACAGGTCTGGGGAGAAAAGAACTGTAGTTCAGGTTTGGACTTGATCTGAAATATTTATTAGATACGCAAGCGGTGACACCAAAGAGGTGAATAAATATGAGTCTAGAGTTCAGAGGAGTCTGAGATGGGGGTGTAAGTTTAGGAATCATGAATATAAACCGTGTTTACAGCTGTGAGACT